GGGGGAAACCGCTGATCAAAATCTTGCACTAATGCTCGATGGTTATTACTTTATCTTACTATCTTATTTTATCTTATTTATCTTGATTTATCTTGTTTCATATTTATAATACCCCAGCAAGGCCTAATGCCCAAACTAATGCCCAAAAATGCTAAGTAATGCTCAGTAATGGTGCAGATCTGTACACCACAATGCCCTAAGCGGTTTCCCCCTCGTAATTTTCCCAATTAATTTGTTGAAATTCTAGACTTTTGATCATTGCATTCTCGCTGACGCTGATTACAACGCATAAGAAGGAAAACAGTGTCTAAAAGTTACTTAGGTTAACGTTTGTACAAACATAATTTTCCGAGGGGGAAAACCGTTGACCAAAATCTTATACACCGATGCTCATTAATGCCCAATGGGCATTACTTCATCTTATCTTATCTTCAGGGTTGGGAAGTAACTCGTTACTTGTAACGAAGTTACAGTTACAGTTACTTTTTTTGGGTAACTCTAACTTAACTTGGTTACTTTCTCTACATCTGTAACTGTATCTTAACTCAGTTACATTATTTCGATAACTATAAGTAACTAATTCAATAGTTACATTAATAGTTACTTATATTTTCAACCTCCACAGATCGCATTGGGCCTTGCATTTGCGCATAAACGCCTTTATCGCCGCCTTACAATTCAAATGCAGATTCGATATTTTTATTTTTATTGCAAGGGAGTAACTGCAAAGTAACGATTCGTTACTTTTCGAGTAACTGTAACGCGTTACTTTTCAGAATTGGTAACTTGTAACTGTAACTCGTTACATTGTTAGCAAAGAAACTGTAACTGTAACTAGTTACTTTTATAAAGTAACTGTAACTCAACCCAACCCTGCTTATTTTATCTTATTTCATCTTTATAATAGCCCAGCAAGGCCTAATGCCCAAACTAACGCCCAATAATGGCTAATAATGGCTAACAATGGCTAGTAATGCCCAGTAATACCGCAAATCTGTACACGACTGTGCCCTAAGCGGTTTCCCCCGCGTAATTTTCCCAACTAATTTGTTGAAATTTTAGGCTTTTGATCATCGCATTCTCGCCGTCGCTGACTGCCACACGTAAGAGGAAACAAGAGTGCCCAAAAAAATGTGTGAAACGTCAAGGACTAATGTAGCATCTGAGCTTTTCTCAGGGGAAACTAGTTTCGTCTCCGCAGATGTATTTCTTTAGCGAGCGGCACGCCCCGTATACATGCCGATTGCGGTAAATTTATGATAATCGTCTTCTCTACCTGCCCGGGGACGCTCTATCTCCTCCGAGCTTGTCCGCCTCTTGTGGCCGGCCACGTAAGTAACGCTAAACGAGGCCTGTGTTGTCTGATTTCCGGCCGGTGTATCTTAAGTAGTTTGTAGGAAATTTGCGAAACACAGACTCTATCTCTCTGCTCGAAAGGGGTTCGATAAACTTGGCGCAAACCTATTTGGCTGATCAAATTGTGCTCCTCGCGGCGAGATTAAAGTAGATTCGTAATTTGCATTTTAAAATCAACAGTATCTAAAATAGGGGAAAGTCCCCTGCTATGAGGATAGACTCCTAATATGAGACAGCGGAGTTTCCGCTAAATTAATCGGCCGTCATCTGTTGGTTCCACCGTGAATTTATTGTCGTTAGATCGTGTAATCGTTGCGAAAAAAGATTTGTGGTTGAATTTGGACGTTGAAAACTTGCCCTCTCGCTATTTTCCTCTACTAATAATTTAAAGTCGACGCTCTCTTTAAAATGAGAATCCAGTTTGAGAATTGGTTTCAATTCTGAAACTCTTTTATTACGAGTCATTGATCAAATTACTATCCAGCAATATATATCGCGTAATTGATCAATGAGATACGTTTATCAAATGGCCGAAGATAAGACGATTACTATTGATTACCTAGCGAACCTCCAATGAGACTCAATGTGACCTCCCGGCAGTGTCGCACCCCTTCGCGTCATAAACATCAAATGTCTCCTCGTGGTACCACAGATTGTTCAATAATACATATTGGACGACAGAAATCGTTATCTCGGCGTAACCGATAAGCGGCATCATCCATCATAAAGTTGTGCATGCGTGCGCCCCAGCATCGCGCGAGCGAGACGGCCGAGCCGCGGGGTGTCGCGCGAGACGTCGCAAGAGCCGGGAACTCTCGGGCGCGACGATATTTCTTCTGTTTCCCATTAATAGTACGAACGGGCGATAGACGCGTAATTGGATTGGTGCTTGTATCAACGCGGGAAAATAAATTAATTATGAGAGAGAGAGAGACGCGGGAGCTACGACACTTGTTTTGCCCGGCGGCGTGGCGTAGCGCGTAGCGATAAGGAGCGACATACCAGTGGGACAACAACGTTACAAAATCCTAATTACGAAACGCTTGCGTAACGCGATGCGCGCGTCCGCGACAGGGATAATTATCAATGTTGTAAATGGGACGCGCGAGATCGAGAGATCGCGCGTCGATCGAGTTTCACTCGGCCCTGTCGGTCGCGGCGGCATTTACATGCGGCTCGATTTGATAACGCGCGGAGAGAGAAAAAAAAATGTGTGTCGTTGTCCTTTGACACGTCGCACTGGCACGAATACACTCGAGGCGGCCTCCGAGACAAATCGCCTCTCGTTAATATTGTTATATTTTCTATGCTTACACGCCGATCTCGCATGATCCGCGATAAGGAATGTGAATAGTAGTTTATTTACTTCGAGTAGCTTTCATGCCAGATAAATTACTACGCTTACAAAACCGATGCGAGTGTAATCGCGCCTACACGGATCCACCGCCGAAATCTCAAGGCGTACATTTTCAAGTTGTATATCCGGTGGCACTAAGCGAGGTCGAGTAAATTTTCTGGATCGCCTGGCTGTCGACGACGATCTCAGCTTACATATATAAACATTTCTCGGCAAACAGCGGTCGCTTTCGTATTAAAGAAAATTAATATTTTCACTGAAGTGACATTTAACATTCGCCGGCGTAAGTTCCAGTGAGTTACAACGAGTCAATCATTCACGGGAGAAATTTGACTAAATGTGTAAAGCCGGCGCCAGACGTGCAATTCGTAATTCCCGATTCGTGATTCGTGAAAATTTGTTATTCGACAGTTGTAAACTTTTACACTGTTCGCAATTCGCAGTATAACGTTCGTAATGTGTAATTCGTTGTTTCTCAACGCCAACGGCACACGATATTATTTTTCCTACTGGATCGTTTACAAGAGCCAATCAGGATTTAGCCTTAATTCACCCGATCTAAAACTCTGCATCCTTATTGGTTCTCGTAAGCAATCCAGTAGAAAAAAATAGTATCGTGCGCCGCTGGCTTTAGTTCGCATTACCTCGGCCGATTCAGAAACATTTGGCAATAGCATAGATGTTTAATTCTTTAACCTTAAAGCCTCATCTACAATGTACTTTTTGCGTCTAGTAACATTTTATATGAGCAAATTGAAACTCTTAACAAAATTGGTCAACAGAGTATCGTTGTACAATGTACAATTTATCGACTCGCACACAAATTTTTTAGACCTATTTATTGACCACAAAATAGATTGTTTCTAGACGCAGAGAGCGCGTTGTAGATTAGACTTAAGAACAGTTGGAAAGAGACAAAGGCAGAATTAGGATAAACTTACAATTAAGCGACGTCGGTGAAATCGGGCCCGCGTTGCATCGCGTAACCTTAGTTTAACTCACTCTTCGTCTCTTTCTAATTGTAAGACAAACAGAAACTGGAGCCTCAGGCCCGGTTTCACCAACGTCACTTAACTTTAAGCTTAGCTTTTAATTCATTCTTTGTCTCTTCCCTACTGTCACTTTGGACAGAGACAAACGCGAATTAATTCTTTTAAGTTCACCCTTTTGTGGGAAACGCCTTTCAACCGTTAGATTATATCAGCGTGATATCTCTAAAAATTCCTTGAAATTCATGCTTCATCTTGATTAAACACCGAATCTAACACTAGGCGCCTATTAAACTCCGTCGAGCGCTGAATTTTTAAAATTTCCCTCAACGAGAAAATATACGGGACGAGGGCCGGGATCGAACCGAGGACCCTACCATTACTAATCACTCGTGTTAGCACGGAGCTACACGTCACCTTAAAACGCAACGTGAATTAAACTAATAGCGAATTTGTTTGCTTGCACTGGTGCGCACTGAGTGCACACTAAGGCTTGTTTATAGTCAGTTCTTATATTTAACTTTGCCTTAAATACATGTTCAAAGAGTATTTAGTCAAAAAATAATCCGTGTAAACGTTGTACAGACCATTTTTCTGGATAAGAAATATTGCAAAAGGTATTTAAGATGATCTTTAAATGTATGAATTGACTGGAAACAAGGCTTAATGTGCATTCAGTGCGCACTAGTGCAACCAACCGAATTCGCTATAAAATTAAGGGTAAACGACGTTGATAAAAACGGACATTAGTTTCTCAAATCGCGTCAAGTTTTTTCCGAGGGGGAAACCGCTGACCAAAATCTTGTACACCAATGCCCACTAATGCCCAATTACTTTATCTTATTTTATCTTTATAATGCCCCAACTAATGCCCAAAAATTGCCTAGTAATGCCCAGTAATGTCGCAAATCTGTACACCACAATGCCCTCAGCGGTTTCCCCCTCGGTGTTTTCCCAAACGCGCTAACACGGCGTCTGCAATGAGACTTCGAGATTTACGAAAACGGCCAATCGTAATCGATTATTCTCGTCACGTTCGACTGCGATTAGTTTCTCACTGCGGCGTAAACGGTATAAAGGACACATTAGGGCTGTGTTCCGAACATATTCACAGCCAGTACTGAAAATCTATAGTGTACATAACGTAAACGCGTGCTAAATACCGTTGTGAAAACACATCGGTCAAACATAAACTGTGTTTGAAAAGTGTTTGCTGGCCTTGCGTATTTAACACAAGGCGTCTCCCTTAGAACGACATAAGAATTATTGAATAGAGCAGAGAAGCTTGAAGGACATACCTCCGGGGAATCTATGGGGAAAGATCCTCCCGTGCCTCGAGAGTAACCATGGGTACAGGGGATAGCTGTCTCTAGGCGGCTGATGAGGATGAGGCGGCGGATGCGGCCCACCGGGGGCTCCGCCGTGCGGATAAGGCCCGTGCGGCGGTCCGTGGGGCGCCGCGCCGTGATGCGCCTGGAGCGCGACCGCGATATTCGCCGCCTGGAAGTGCTGGGCCGCGGCCAAATTGGCCGCGAGCGCCAATTGCTGCGTGTGATACTCGTTCTGGCCGGCCTGCGGGCCCGCGGGACTGTGGGCGCCGGGCAGTGCGTACAGGGACTTGAGCTGCTCCGCAGCCATGACCGCGGCCGTCGCGGCGTTAGACGGCGGCGCGAGGTAGTTTGGGCTAGGCCTGACCACCCCCGGGGGCGGCTGGGGGTGCGAGCCGATCGGCGAGTCCCCGTGCGGTATCCTGTGCGGCGGGCTCGGACTGTTGTTGGGCGTGGAGCCGTCGCTGTGGCTGTGAACGGTCGTCCGAGCGAAGTCCAGGTGCGCCGCTGCCGAGAGATTGTGATGATGCGGGTGAACGTGATGGTTGACGGCGTGAAGATGATGGTGGCTGCCGGCGCCACCGATAACGACGCTGGCGTGCGACGGGGTCCGGCGTGAGTTCGGGTACGACTCGACGGAAGAACTCCGGGAAACAGGCCGATCGGAGCCCTCGGAATGCGCGCCGGGTGACCTCGTGGCCCGGCGCGCCCGTGGCGAGGACGAGCCCTCAACTATCTCCATCGACGGACTGCCATCGATCTCGACTCGCTGCTCCAGCCGATCCGCCTCGCGGCCGCCCTGCCCGCCGCCGACGATCGAGTCGATGCTAAAGCCGATCTTCGGCTTAGATGGCACCGGGACGATTGGCGTCGGCGCGAGCGGCATCATCGTACGATTATCGTACGCTTCCCAGGTGGACGACCCGCGGGACCAACGGATCTGCGAACGCTCAATCGTCGGGATTAGGTTCGCCGCGTCATCGCGGCCGCCCGCTTCCCCGAAGTCGCCCCTTCCTACGATCCAGCCAACGATCTACGTCAGCGGTTCTGGGCGCACTCGTTCCCTTTAAACGATATTAAATGAACGTCGCGACACATTAATCCTTGCCAGAAGGATCGCGATTTCAAAGTCCACGTCTCCTCGACTATGACTGTCAGCGTATCCGGGGTGTCCCGATTGTTTTCCTCTCGGAGTACTAATCTTCGCTCGATCACTACGCTCACCGAAGAGGTCCGTTACTCCGAACACACTGGATCGGCACCGGTCGCCTCGCGACAGACAATCGAGTCCCGGCTACTTGCTGACGCATCACTGGTATACGACGGACGTATCGCACATACGTAAACCCATCGTCCCGCAGGTGTCTCCGAATCACCCACCAACGCAACTCAACTGACGTAATCTCGCCGTAATCACGAACGCTGTCGCACTGGCTGGAGTCTCACGACACTCACTCGTACGTCACGTCCGACACTCTCCATCGGCCTGGGCGCGACACGACTGGGACCTCGGCGGGGAACGCGACGCGGAAGGCTGCCGTGGGTGCAACGTCGAAAGGGGGACACACGTCGCGCGGTCCTGCGTGAAATTAAAACCCTCGGTCGCGAGAGCGAACACCGAGCGCCAGCTCTGACGGATGTTCCTGGCACGAGAGCTTGCTAGTGTTTGAGCAAATTACAGGCTAAACGAGGCGCTCGCTGCGCCGTAGTGGGGTTTCTGGCTTGGAGCAGCTTATTCGAGTATGCTGGAGCCCCCACCAAGTCCGCCACTCGTCCGATTCCGTGGTGGGGGTCGACTCGGGGGCGGAGCTTAACTTGATTGCACGCGCGCGGGGCGTGCACCACCTCGCGCCCGATTGGCCGCCTCGCCGCGACGCGAGACCGGAGTTGGACACGAACGCGGCCCCGGCTACCAGAGTTCCTGTCAACTACGTAGAAGCTGCTACAGTGGGGCGACGCATTAGTCCACGATGGGCGTTAAACTCACGTTTTTGTCGTGCGATGAAAATGAGTCGTTTAATTAATACGTCTGGCTCGCGCTCTCGCTTCCACCCGCATCTCCCCGTTTCCCTCCTACCGCCTCCCGTTCCCGCCCCCTTCCCCTTTCTCCACCCCGTCCACTCCGCCCCGCGGGAGAAACGTGAGAGGAGCTCTGTTCGTTTCGTTTGCGGATCGTACGGTTTCGTTTGCTTCTTCGACTCCCCTCTCTACTACAGAGCAATAAAATCCCGCCAGGATTCGAATAAAAAGCTGTGAAAAGGTCAAAAGAGTAACGAATACTTAGGAAATCGTCGTGAAACAAAAAGTATCATCGTATAGTAATTATCGTCTTTATATTCTTTGTGCAATGGCCTTTTCAGTGAGAGATAAATTACGTGAAAATGAATAACGAAGGATTTAAATCGAGGAATGATTTAAACTATTGTCTACGAAGTGAATTATCTTAAACGGAAACTGACGAAAAAGTAAGATTGTATAATTGATTGCAAATTTTGCGGCTGATCTACCATTATGGCAGATTATACTTATTATTTTCATTTCAGGGACGAAGATGAGTTTTAAAATTGGTATTCTCTTTTCGCTATGAAAGGATTCCATTTGAAAGGATCGTGGAAAAAGAACCGATAATGGAAGCCAAAAAGAAAGAGTAAAGATGGAAAACAGACCCAGGAAAAGATACAAGAAAATAAAAATTCATGAGCCTATAATCTCAAATATTTATACAAAGTCCGACAGTTCGTAGCACGAAGTAAACCTAGCGAGACAAGTCAATCAGCATCGCGGAAAAAAGGCAACGATACTTCGAGACTCTCGAGTATCGACTTAACACGCCTCTTTTATGACAGGAGAGAGACACTGATAAAAAGAATATAATTGAAATTATAATTTATCCTAATGCGCAAAGTAATAGAATAGCGCGTTTTACTATAAAAACTATACAGTTGATGTAACGTGAAAATATAGTTCGTAAAATTATTGGTTTCATAATATTTATCTCATACGACTATGATTATTATTACCAAATGTTAAACGAAACATAATATTGGAAAGTAAGAGACAAAAACTCCTCATGGATGTTCTCCCTATAACTTTTTATAGATGTGTATTAAACATTTATATTTCATATAAAATAAATATAATAAAAAACCCTTAGGACACGTGTACTCATATAATATCCCAGCGTATCATTCTATCCTTGTTGCTCACCGTATATGTTAAACATAAGATAAAATGATACACTAGGGCATTCGGGTGAGGTTTCTGAATACAACCTAGCTTCTTTCAGTACCGGAGGAAGACCGAGACTAGTCTTCTTCTTCTTCTAGTTTATTGACTCCCGGCTCACTCACTGAGCCGATACGGCCACGACGAACCAATAGTCTTGATAGTGTAAATATCTTATCGTGTAATCACGTTTTTGATGTCACACAATGCAGAGGCCCAACTACCGGACCTCGCGCGGGATGATGCAATCCCTATTGGATGATGCAACCCGCGAGTATCAAAAATTTTTTTTTCTTCAGCCAGAAGACGTGCGAACAGCTCACGTCCCAAACGGAACTCCGAGACTAGTCTCGTATATATAATACTCTATGCGGTTTTCTTCTTACGAGATAGTTTTATGCCGCGCGTCCCTCTAGTGAAGATATTCCGAATTATTCTCCACACTAGACGCGATAAGCGATGGGCGATGAGCGATATCCAATGAGAGATTTGCTTTTTGGGACAAATAGCGCTCTTATTGGATATCGCTCATAGCTCGTCGCGTCTAGTGTGGAAGAGCCGTTACTAGGATGACACTAGTATTACATATGGTAACAGTTTTTATATTATTAATCAGGGTTGGGAAGTAAGTCGTTACTTATAACGAAGTTACAGCTACAGTCAATTTTTTCGGTAGCTCTAACTTCGTTACTTTCTTTCCATCTGTAACTGTAACTTATTCGTTACTTTCTTTCCAACTGTAACCTATTAAAAATATAACTCAGTTATATTTTTTCGATAACTAGTAACTAATTTAATAGTTACATTAATAGTTACTTTATATATTTTTCAAACCTCCACAGATTGCATTAGGCCTTGCATCACGTTAATGCATAAACACCTTCTTCGGCGCTTTACAATTTAAATGCAAATTTCACATTTTTATTTTCATTGCACAAAGTAACTGCAAAGTAACGATTCGTTACTTTTTAAATAGTTGCAACTGTAACGTGTTACTTTTCAGAATTGGCAACTTGTAACTGTAACTATGAGTTACATTTTTAGCGAAAAAACTGTAACTGTAACTAGATACTTTTATAGAGCAACTTTCTCAACCCTGTTATTAATTATATGAATAACTAAGTTGTGTCCTTTCTTTCATGTTTTACCACATGGGATTATTATAATTTATAGTAAACAGTTTCATTGCTTCTCGGTGTCACGCATATATGTATAGTTTATATTACTAGCATTGCAATAGGACTTTCTAAAGGCTATCATCCTAGATACTAGAGACTATTATGTAATTTTTACCATGCGATCATAATCAATTTTATCATCGATTTTATTATTAGCATATCAGTTTCCACATCCGTAAACTGAAAGTAGTCGGCAAAAATTAGCCATTCGATGAAATGCAACCCAAAAATTTAAATTGGATGAAAAGTTTATTATTGTTATAAATAGGACACGCGCGAATCCATTTCAAAAACTTTTCGAATCTCGACACCGCGCGGAAAAAACTAGCTGCCGTAGCTAAAAACTGCCTGTGGTAGCTAAACATCAGTTGTAAAATCTGGACAGCTAATATTTCGTTGTGATAGCTTTTGCTACCGTGTCTATTATATCAGGTGCGACAGCAAATCGTTTGCTGTGGTTTAGAAATTTATAGCTATGGCAGCGAAATAGCAAACCATGATTGGCTACGGTAGCGAAAACTTGGGCCCGGTTTCACCAATGTCGCTAAAGTTTAAGCTTACATACAATTAGTTTAACTCACCTAATTGTCCGCTTAGGCCCGGTTTTCATCAAACGTCGTTTAACTTTAATCTTAGTTTAACTCTCGTTTGTCTACTTCTAAAGTAACAGTTGGAAAGAGACAAAGAACGAAGAACATATTAAGCTAATTAAAGTTAAACAACGTTGGCGAAAGGGCCTTAGAAAGAGACAAAGAATGAGTTAAGCTAAGGTTAAAGTTAAGCGACGTGGGTGAAATCGGGCGTTAGTCTAATCCACGCGATGTCGCGATTGCAGGGAATCTATACGGTAACATCCGAGACACCGTCGTGTAATTTGATCGACGCTAATTATGTAATTAAGACGTCAGCCGACGGCGCGAAATGACACTCCTGTCACGGTGCTGAAAGCGCTCGTGATCGCGGATCCGTGAAAATCTACTGTCAACCGAGCGAATATTTCATAATTGACGTTAATCTTGCAGCGACGTTTAACCATCAGTTGTAATCAAGTTAACGTTGATCTCAAAACCGCGTGGAAAATTAGAACGGATGACGACGCGCTCGTTACAGTCACATTGATTGGCACTTATACATTTATAGGATACGATTCTACAATACAATAATTTCCTTTTATTAGACATATACGTTCACGGAGGAAAAAATGTAACCGCGTAAAAAAACCGCATGTGGCAACTAAATTTCAGTTGTAAAATATGGACAGCTAATATTTAGTTGTGATAGCTTAATATTTTGCCACTGCGTCTATATTGTATTAAGTGCGACAGCAAACCGTTTGCTGTGGTTTAGCAATTTAAAGTAACGGCAACAAAATATTTTTAGCAAATCATGATTGGCTGCGGTAGCAAAAATTTTTTTTAGTATTATATTGTACACGATTAACGGTTCGCATTTGTATGATTATATCACATATCATCGCGCTAAATGTTTGATAAGCTGTGAGATGTAAGTTTTATTCATACGTATTTCTGGAATTTTTTCAAGCTTTTCTAGAAAGAAACTTAAACTCCTGCCACGCAAGACCGTATATTATCTTAGTTTACGTATAGTTTTTTTC